AGTGGGCAGCAGGGATGGGGTGAAGAAGACTAAATGTCACAGAAGGATCCTCATCTGGTCTGGTAGCCATGAGGGAGGGACAAGAGTCAAGACACGTGCACATTTCCCACTTGGGCAACTGGGCAGGTGGTGGTGTCATTCCGGAGCAGAGAGACCCAGAAAGAACAGTGGCGGGGTGGGGGTAAAAGAGAAGCGGGAGTGGGTTCCTTTTGAGACCTCCCTTGCAGTGGAGGTGCCTGGGGGACATCCAAGTACAGAGGACCAGTGGGCAGCCTGATGAACTGGTATGCAGTGGAGGAGAATGTTCTGGAGCTGAGAGGGAAGCAGTTGGCAGAGTGCTTGGGGAGGGGAACCTACATCATGCTTCCAAGGTTGCGGATACAACAAAGTCCCCGAGTCTGGAAGGTCTGGGGGGACAGGAACTTGCCTAGTACATAACCCATGCCTCAAAACCATTCATGAATAAAAAGATGAAGCTTCCGGTAAGTCGTGGCTGGGGGAGGGGCGTGGGGGAGAGACCTGGGTGTATTCCTTCCTCGGCGCCAGCAGAGCCGGTCAGAGGAGAGAGACTTTGCTCATCTAGCTCGGTCCTAGAATCTACACCCTTCTCCCCACGGCGCCAGCCCCATCCACCTCCTCTTGCTCTCTCATCCTCTCTGGGGACAGGGAGCAGCACGAAGCGTCCCCAAAGTTTTACAACAGGCGCTCATGACACAAATTCCCACCGAGGAGAAAAAGTCAGCCCTGGGACATGTAGCTGATGTATCATGAGGTGGGCTATTTTGGGACTCGAATTACACAGGAGAGCCTGGGAAAATAGTGCCTGGAGATGAACAGAGTTGCAATTAGCATTAACTACAAGGTGTCGAATCCTTACTGCGCACACAGCAGGCAGCGTGCCCTGGGGAGAGGAAGGTGACCGGGAGCCAAGGACTCTGGTGGGAGGGGGCAGCATCTGCGGGAGGAGGAGGCACGATTTTTCTGGAAGGCGCAGTCACCCTGAGCAAAGGGGCCTCCAAAGTTGGAAATGCAAGCACGACAGGACTCCACCTCGCTCAGGGAAACTCCAGACCCTGGACCGAAGGGACTGGTGCAGGGCCAGAGGCTTTCTCCTAGGGTGTCACTGCCTCATGGAATGTCCCCAGATGCAAAGTAGATAGAGCCTGTGCCTGAAAGGAATCGATTTCCCGGCAGGTAAGTCTTTTTAAAAACCTCAGTGACAATGCACAGTGTCTAGCTGTGTGGGAGGGTGGAAGGCCGGGGTGGGGTGGGGGGTCAGGCTGCGTGGACGGATGCCCCTGCGTTTCCACTTGCCAGCTGATAACCTGGAACGGGTCCTCCCCTGGAGTTTCACTTTATTCATCTTTAACCCCTCCCTGTAATCCCTTTCAGAGTCTACTTCACCAGATTGGGGCAGATCAAATTAGATAATTGTATGTTAAAGTGACTCCACAACCTGCAACCTCCCTGACAACGCAGATGCCGTCACTTGTCCCCTGCTTTGCAAAGACAGCTGGGGGCATCTGACTCCCGGCGAAACTAAGGCAGCCACCAGGCTATTGAGTCTGATTCCTCTTTTCTTTATTCCCAGTGACAAGCATGTTATCTACTACACATTAACTGCTCAAAAATGGTAGTTGAATAAATAAGTCCTTGGTACCTAAAGGGGAATATTCCAAAAAGACCACAGTGTGTTTCCTATCAGTTACATCTAGGAGAGATCTTTTCCAATGTCAACTGTTACTAAAATATTCTACTCTGATTCTAACCTTCTGTCCAATTCCAACTTATGTCACATAACATTTGTGCTTCCTGAGAGCAAAAACCATGCCTTAATCACTGCACTTCAATGTGGGCTCCACGTGAGCAAGGACTTGGTTTGGTTCAGAGCTATACCCCAGCACCTAGAGTAGAGCCTTGTGCTTTAGTAAGGCTCATTAAGGATCTCTAAATGAATGAATGGTTTCTAACCCAGAACACCATGCTAGGCATTCGGCAAATGTTCGTTGAATGAATAAATTAGTAAGCAAGGGGAACACTGTCTCTCACTAATGCCCCTTCCTAACATTCTCAACAGGGGCAATATAGCAAGGCGGGTGGGTAGGCAAGCTCTGGAGTCAGATGATCTGGGTTTAAATCCTGGCTCTCATACTCACTAGCTGGGTGACCTAGAGTATGCTACTGAACCTCCCTGTGCTTCAGATTTCTTACCTATAAAATGGGGATGATAATAATGTTTAAAATAGGATTACATTAATTCATTTGAAGGATCCTAAAATATTTCGCACAGTGCTTGGCACATAGTAATTACTGCTATTTTTTTTATGATCCTATCAGTCTCTTAATAACCCTCAGTGCCTCCCCTCTGGCTACAGGATAAGATCTAAAATTAAGGTCCCCACAATGTAGCCCCAATATCCCTCTTTCCAGTCCCATCTTCCCACACTTCAACACTAACGACCCTTTACTGGCTTCTCCGCCAGGCCAGACACTTCACAAAGCCCTGTAGGGTAGGACTTTTTATTGCCCATATTTCACTGAAGATGTGACCAAGGTTCAGAAAAGGGACGTAACTTTCCAGGGACACACAGCTTGTCTCAAGAAAGTGAGATTCATTCCAGGACTTCCTGACACGAAAGTTCACGCTCTTCTTCACTGGCCTCTGAAATCCTTGCTGGGCACAGCGCGGTCTGTGGGCCCTTGCTACCAGCATAACCTGGGAGCTTGCTAGAAATGCAGAATCTCGGGCTCACCTCAGACCTACTGAATCAGAATCCGAATTTTCACAAGTCCTCCAGGTGATTTCTATGCACAGGAATGTGCTGGAAGCAATGTTGTAAACCACTTTCTACCAGCCAGACACAAAAGCTAATTAAACCAAACACCAGATCTTATTTAATCCCTACAACAATCTGGGAGGTATTAGGAAATGGGGATTGTTATCCCATTTTGCAGATGAGGACACTAAGGCTCTGAGGGTTAAGGATCTTGACCTAAAGCCTCATGTGCCTGATTACAGCATGATGCTCCGGCCATATCCCTCTGCCTGGAGTGTCTTCACTCCCTCTCTCCCCTTGAAATCTTCTCATCCTTTAGGCTCCACTCAAAATCCCCTCCTGCTGGGTGAAGCCTCTCTTATCCACATCCCACTGGACAAGATTATTTCTTCCCTCACAGTCCCCACAGCTCCCTGCACATACCTTTCTCTTGGCCCTAATTCATTCTGTTTTAAAGAACTATGTACTAAGTGCATACTGCGAGCCCGGCACATAATGGGCGTTGAGTAAATGTTTGCTCCCAATGCACTGATGCTTGAGTTTATCAGAGCACTTTCACCACACCTGTGTTATCCCCCCCACCTCCCCAGCTCCTCTATGCCCCCAGGGCATAGTCTGCCATCTGTTAGGACCAAATCCTTAGGAAGCAAACTAGTCTCCATTCTAAAGATGAAACTTGTCTAAAGATGAAATTAAGCGTAAAATGTGCCAGAAGTGAGGCCTTGCCATTCCTCAGGTTGCCAAGGTGATAGGCATCTCGCTGCCCACCACCACTGATCTTTGAGCTGACACGGGGTGCCAGGACTGACTACTGTCACAATAGTCACAGCTATTTGACAATCTAGCCCTCATTTTTTTTTTCCTACACTGTCAAAGGAAGGCCCAGAAATAGTAGGCAACCTCTTCAAATTCCCTGGGGTTTAAAATCAGGTCCCCAGTAACCTTCTGTCATTTCACAAGGAGAAAGGGCAAAGGTGGCTGAGATGAAGGGCAAAGATCACTGAGAGGCAGAGAACCTAATAGCCCCCAGGCGCAGCCTCTCCTGTGGGAGGGCTGGCTAGACCACGTGTTTCAAGGCCTCAATTTCCTCAGCTGTAAAATGAGGGGGTTGGACTAGTTTCTAATGCTCCTTCCAGCTCTGAGATGCTGTGCTATAAAATGGGAGAAATGTGAACCTTTGGTTGCTATGATCTGAAAATATTTTGAATGTGGAGAATCAAATTGTACAGCAGGGCATGAACAAAATAATATGTTAATGACTAAGAAGATTGTATTTAATCCAATGGGAAACAGCAGAGCAGCGGCTGCTGGTGATGTGTGTGTGTGCGCGGCTTCTTTCCTTGAGCTCAAACATGCACTTTGAATCACTAATATAGTAATCAGGCCTCTGGCAGCCTATCTTGCCCAAATACACACACACACACACACACACACGTCAGTTCAAATTAAAATGGGGGGGGGGGGATTCCACCACAGCAGCTTACATCCTTGCTGTATCTGGAATTTTTTTCTTTTTTTTTTTAAAGAAATTTTTATCGTGGTGAAGGTGCTGTATTGGCAGCTTCTGGAGCCCTCTGATCTCAGAACTGAGACATGTGGGCCGCCAGCTGAGGGTTTTATTAGCATTTCGCTTTTGCACACAACCACCTCCCCCCAGCCGTCACAATCCCATCTGGCAGCAGGGGCCCCCAGACCCTCCACGCGGGGAGTGGTGAGATCGACTACCCCCGAGGCACCCCGACCGAAGCACGTGCTCGCGGCCATAACTGCGGAAAAGATGAACGCGCGCCTGCTCCGTGTCCCGCCCTGCCAGGCCGCAGGAAGTGTTAGATCGCCACCGGGGGGTCGGGGCCCGGAGGCAGAAGCGGGCCAGAGGCCTCACGTGCGTCTAACCGGGACCCCCCCCCCAACCCCGGCAAGTTCCTGCCCACTCTGGAGCTCCCGGGCCCTCAGGCCTAGGCCCCGCCGCGTCCCCCCGAGAACTAGCCCCCCCCGACCCCCAGGCCGCCGGCTCGGCTCCAGGCCCGCGCCACCACCACCCCCCGCCCCCCGAGGTGTAGGGCGCGGCCGACCCTCCCCGTCCGACGGCCGCGCCCGCGCCCCGGCCCGCGCCGATTGGCCGACCTCGCGGCCCGGTGAGGCGCCCCGCCCCTCGGCTCCAGGTGCGGCGGGGCGACCGGGGCCGCGGCCGAGGCCGGGGCCAGGGCGGGCGGCCGCAGCGCCATGGCCGAGTCCCAGCTGAGCTGCCTGGACGAGGCGCACGTGAACGAGAGGGTGACCGAGGCGCAGGCTGCCTTCTACTACTGCGAGCGGAGGCGGGCCGCGCTGGAGGCGCTGCTGCGCGGCGGCGAGCTGGCCTACCGCGAGCTGGTCAAGAAGGAGCAGCTGCGGGACTTCCTCTCCAGCCGGGAGCAACAGGCCCTCCGCGCCGCCTGGAGCCCCTACGAGGATGCCGCCGCCACCAACGCCGCCGCCCGGGGCAAGAGCAAGGCCAAGGGGAAAGCCCCGGCGCAGGCCCCGGCCGAGCCCTGCGAGTCCCTGGCCTACTGGCCCGACCGCTCCGACACCGAGGTGCCCCCGCTGGACCTGGGCTGGACCGACACGGGCGTCTACCGCGGCGTGAGCCGCATCACGCTCTTCACCCACCCGCCCAAGGAGGAGAAGGCGCCCCACCTCAAGCAGGTGGTCAGGCAGATGATCCAACAGGCCCAGAAGGTAGGCCCCGCCCCCCACACCGGTGGGACACCCCACCCCCGGGCAGCCTCTTGGACCAGGACCCACCTCAGAAGCAGGGCCTGGGGCAGGACTTCCTGACCACTCTGGAAAATGGGCCCAGAACCCTCCCTTAAGCCGAGGGGCTGGTGAGGCCTCTAAAGAGGATGGATGGGGACGTGTTTGGCAAATCACAAGGTGCTAGACAGTTGTCATTATTAGTGTCCAGAGGGGCTGGCTTTCCTCCGCTCTGTGCTGCTTTTTCCCTGTCAGGTTCCTCTCTGTAGGGAAGAGTGGGGGCTGTGGGGCTTTGTGGTACAATGGGCCTCTCAGAGGTCTTGATAATAACCCATGTGCTGCCCAGGGATTTACAAAACCTACCCCAGGCCATTCATTTTCTCATTTGGTCTTCAGTCAACCCCAGGAACTGGGTGGTGGGACTTCCCCACCCCTACCCCAGCCATGCTCTTCTTAGGAGGGCCCCCAGAGTCAAGACTGGACTAGCATTCACAGCCCCTTGGGGGCCAGTACTAGAAGTCAAGCAGCCTGGATTAAATGAAGAAATGTATTTTGAGCACCTACTATGTGCCTGGCTCTGTGCTGGCCACGTTGACAAGGCACATCACTGGACTCAACAACTGGGGTTGGGGGTCAGGCAGGCTCTCACTTACTGTGTCTCTCTGCTTGGGGGTTGAAAGGAGGAGATGTTTCCAGAGTGGCTAGTTAGAATACTGGTGGACCAGTAGGTTGTGGGGCAGGGGGAAGAATTTAATCTTTACTCCGTGCCCTTGCCTAGGGGCAACTTGGGTAGGGTTTCCAGGTAAAACATGGGACAGCCTGTTAAATTTGAATTTCAGATAAACAACAAATAATTTTTAGTATTAGTATGCCTCAAACATTGCATGGGGCATACTGATACTAAGATGTTCTTTGTTGTTTGCTGAAGTTCAAATTTAATGGAGGATTCTGTATTTTTATTTGTTAAACCTGGTTCCCCCACACAGAGATTTGTTAGAAACACCAGCACCTTTAGCGCCCGGTGCAGAATATACAACAGGAGTGGCTTGGGCTCACCGTTCTAATTCAGCTCAGTGGATGTGGTTGAGTCCTTTTACCCCCGGAGGCTGAAGTGGCCTGGGAGGGAACACCAACCCAGAAAGATCAGTGGGGACACTCCTCTTCCTGGGAGGGGTGATGCAGGTTGTTGGCTAGATTGGCTGCCAGAAGGAAGCATTAACTTTTCACTGTCCACGTTTCCACCCTCCCTCTCTAAGAAATTCCTCATTTGCCTGAGCTTTCTTTGTATACTGCATTCTGCAAAAGAGAAAGGCAAGGATGACGATACTGTGCAGCTGGGGTAAGGGGTCAGGTCTCATGATGCAATACTAAAAGCCTTGATTTGTTAGCACTTCATATGTGCCAGGCACTGGGCTAATAATTTCATCTTCTCTTTTGCTTTTCACGACAACTCGGTGAGATGGGTAGTTGCCTTTTTTGTTTCGGTACAGTTGTTTGCCAAAGGTCACAGAGCAAGTAAGTGGCTGCTCCAGGATTCGAAAGCCAGAGTCCTTGCTCTTAATCACCGTGCCATCCTGCCCTGCTGTCTGGTGGTAGTGCGGCAGGACTAAACCAAGGGCCTTGAATGGAGCTAGCCTGGTCACAACCTGGGGTACAGGTTGTGTGCCCCTGTTACAGAAAGGGAGAGACAGGACCCCTGCCCGCTGGGGCTGCTAGTCGCCCGTGGGATGTCAGGAGTCTCCTGTGTCATGCAATGTTCTTAGCTCTTTAAAATTTAACAACAGAAACTTTAACAATTGTGAACGAGAACAGTATGTACATATTTAACTAGTCATTACTTCCTGAGTGCCCACTGTGTGCCAGGCTCCGGCCATAGAAGGATATAAGCTGTGGTTTTTGCTCTCAGTTAACTCAAATACTGGGGCATGCTGGAAAGAAAAGCATTTTTTTGAGCCTAATCTGGGAAGGCTTCCTGAGGGAGGTGAATTGCACGGTTGAAAGGGGAAAGAGAAGGAAACTGGAATGGGCAATTTCTCCATTAAGAGACTTGGGAGCAGGAGCAAAAGATTTTTCCTTCAAAGCAGCAAGCAGCTTTGGGGGCGCCTGGGTAACTCAGTCGGTTAAGCGTCTGACTTCAGCTCAGGTCATGATCTCAGGGTCCTGGCCCCAGAGTCATCTGGCTCCACACTCAGCAGGGAGTCTGCTTCGCCCCCTCCCTCTGTCCTCCCCCCGCCCCCCGCCGCTCCACTTGCACATGCACGCACTCTCTCAAAATAAATAAATAAAATCTTTTACAAAACAAAACAAAAAAAAACAGCAAGCAGCTTTGGCAGGAGGAAAGAGCTCTCCTAGGGGGAGGACTGTGTGGGGCCTGGTGCGAGCATCCCAAAACTGAGTCAGAAGCCGGTGAGCACACCCCTGGCAGAGGCAGCCTCTGACCCTGTCATTGCCCCACTGAACTCCCAGGCCTTCTGGGCCCCACCCTTACTCACTGTCGCTCCAGGCTCTACAGCACCTTCTTCTCAGAGACCCCCCTGAAGTAGGTAGGACAGAGATGTTGACCTGTTTCACAGGTGAGGAAACTGAGGGACAGAGGAGGAAAGGGACTTGCCCAAAGGTCATGTGGTTGGTTATGCAAAGACCCAGATCCCTCGCTTCTGCTGTAAAGGCTACACCCTCTGAGCACTGCCTGCCCCCGACTGACCCCAGCTTGTCCAACTGGCAAGCAACCTTCCGCAGCTATTATTACTCTAGATTCTTCCCCGTTCCTTTTCACCCCGAGGGAGGGAGTTTGCTTTGTCCTCAGGGGGAGTCAGGCTGCCGTGAGGTGGTTTCTGTGCCGCCCTGAGGGGGACTGTCGTGGGGAGGCAACCAGACACACACACACACACACACACACACACACACACACAGCGGTGTGCCAGAGAGTTTTAGATTTTTTCTCCTTTCATCTTCAGTAGAACCTCATGAGGTGCTGTTGTTTTTATTCCTGAGTGACAAACAGGACACTAAGGCTCAGGGGAGTGGCTGGGACTTAACCCACTGCCACAGACCGGGGGGGGCTTCGAACCTCAGGGATCCAGAGAGAGGAGCGTAATTCGGGGGACACTTTGAAAATCGGATTGGGGGTGGGGGGAGGCAGAGGGCAGTGAGGAAACCAGCCAGCAGCGGGTGTGTAGGTGGGAGCTGGTGGCCTGGGAGGAAGGCCTTGGAGGCAGGCAGTCAGGTCATCGGCGGGGCCTCTGCAGATGGCCGAAGGCTCTGCTGGCTAACTGGCCATGTTTACTTGTGGGGTGTGGTTTTTTCCTGCTGCCTTTCCCTCTATTTCAGTGTCACTGAATGATGGACATTGCTTAACCTGCAGGCAGAAAAGGTGTGTTCGGGGACCGAGCAATGAGTCCCTGGCCTATCTCACGCTGACAGAGATGACCTGGGGAGGGGGCTGCTGTCTGGGCTGCTAAGATCATTGTAACCGCAGAGGGCCTGGTGGCGGGGGGATCACATGTAGACTGGGAAGCTTTGGGTTCTCACACACAAGAGCAGAGGGAGAGGACCCATCAGCTGCAGTTTGGATGGACTGGTCGTTTGGAAGGAGAATGTTCATCTGGTCACTGGACAGATAGTTCAAGGTTACTGTGTGCTAAGCACTTTAGTAGAAAACAGACATATAAAACACACTCCTGCTCTTAAGTAGCCTAATAGTCTTCTAAACCATTATTAGAATACAGTATGCAAAGGCCTGCCAGAGGGCGTGGCTGCAGGGGCATTAACTCCGACCCAGGTTAGGGAAGGCCTTTTGACGCTGAGGATCTGGCTCAGATCAGCGTGTCCCAACGCAGCAGCAAGGCAGAGCCTCCACCCATTTGCACCCAGGCTCCCTTGTGCGTCTGCTTTTGAGGCTCCTGTGTGGGTTTAGAGAGCCATTGCCTATAGAATAGAAAACTTACTGGCTCCCTACCTCAAAGACTGACCCTTGGCCCTGCTCTCCTGGGTCCCACACCAAATGCACTGCACTGCCTACCACAGGCTGCCCCGTGTCCTTTGAGCCTCAATCACCATGTGAGACAGAGTATTATCTTCATTTCTGCAGAGTCCTCTGAGGTCCAAAGGGGTGAAATGGTTTGTCTTTAGACCAAGGACAAGGAGATTATATAGCCTCCCCAGGTCCCTGGTCAGAATCACCAGTGACCCCACGAAGATTACAAACACAGCCCAAGAGAGAGAGGCTGGTGGACTAGGCAGCTTTGAAGAACCAGGAGCTCTTCATTCCTGTTGCAGTGGAGACCTGCCTGGTTGATGGGGGACAGAGCAGCATAGGTAGCAGGCCTGGCCCTCCCCCTCCCCTGCCTGTGGCTTTGTCTTCCTTCTTTCAGGGCCCAGGCCAGGTGCTACCTCTTCCTTGGCACTTTTATCAAGTTTTCAATTCAAAAGTGACCATTTTGGGGACAACCTGGGCAGCTCAGTCAGTTAAGCATTCGACTCTTGATTTCAGCTCAGGTCATGATCTCAGGTTCATGAGATCGAGCCCCATGTGGGGCTTTGCACTGTGCGTGGAGCCTGCTTAAGATTCTCTCCCTCCCTCTGCCCCTCCCTGCAGCTTCCCCCCCCCACCATGCATGCTCTCTAAAACAAAAGTGACCTTTTTATTGTCAGGTGTGACTCCTTGTTTGTTCACCTGTGTGCCTGGCACACAGCTCGCTTTGGGAGAGCCCATTTTATCCTCAGGGACTGGTAGTTTTGGAAGAGTGAGACCCCACCTTACTCCTCTGAGTCTCCTTTGCAGGGCCCTGGCGGTCACAGGCGGTCAGTGATTTGCATAAATGGTTGGAAACTGTCTCCGATTGGCCATCCGCCTCTCTCCATTCCTCTAGAGAAGCAAGTGTCTGGAGAAGTCCCGCATTGAACTGCACATTACCCAGGGGACCCCTTTAATCCCCTGTAACAAACTGGCAGCAGAGAAAAGAACGCTGTAAACTGGGGCGGGG